CTAACAGATTCAAGCACTCAAATTTGGTCAACCTGTCTATTTTTGCCCTTTAAAATGGAATGAAATTTGAGCAAAATAATATAAATGGGCTTGAAATTTGAGTTGGGTGAAATCAAAATTGCAAAAAATAAGAAGAGAGAATACATATTTCATAATCTTCTTCCAATGTTTTAGTTGCAGGAATCCAGAAGAGTATTAAAGAGAGGACAGAGACATGGCCGGAAATCAACTGCAAGTTCTAAGCGCACTTGATTTGGCAAAAACCCAATGGTACCACTTCACGGCCATAGTGATCGCCGGCATGGGCTTCTTCACCGACGCCTACGATCTCTTTTGCATCTCACTAGTCACCAAACTGCTCGGGAGAATCTACTACCACGTCGAAGGATCCCACAAGCCGGGAACTCTGCCACCCAACGTGGCTGCCGCCGTCAACGGCGTCGCCTTCTGCGGCACGCTGGCGGGGCAGCTCTTCTTCGGGTGGCTCGGGGACAAGCTCGGGAGGAAGAAGGTGTACGGGATGACGCTTATGATGATGGTGGTGTGCTCCGTGGCTTCGGGCCTCTCGTTCGGGCACACCCCGAAGAGCGTGATGGCCACGCTCTGCTTCTTCCGCTTCTGGCTCGGGTTCGGCATCGGCGGGGACTACCCTCTCTCCGCCACCATCATGTCCGAGTACGCCAACAAGAAGACCCGGGGCGCCTTCATCGCGGCCGTGTTCGCGATGCAGGGCTTCGGGATTCTGGCTGGCGGGGCCGTGGCAATCATCGTCTCCGCGTCGTTCAAGTCCGCGTTCCCGGCCCCGGACTACAAAACCGACCCTCTCGCTTCCACCGTCTCCCAGGCCGACTTTGTTTGGCGGATCATCGTCATGTTCGGCGCCATCCCCGCCGCACTCACCTACTACTGGCGCATGAAGATGCCGGAGACGGCCCGGTATACTGCCCTCGTCGCAAAGAACGCGAAACAAGCCGCGTCCGACATGTCTAAGGTGATGCAGATGGAAATAGTAGCGGATCACGTTGAGAAGCCGATCCACGAAGGGAACCGTGGCGAGTTCGGACTGTTTTCCAAGACGTTTCTTTGTCGTCACGGCCTCCATCTGCTTGGGACGACGACGACTTGGTTCTTGCTGGACATAGCGTTCTACAGCCAGAACCTATTCCAGAAAGACATTTTCTCAGCAATAGGATGGATTCCAAAAGCGGAAACAATGAATGCCCTTGAAGAGGTCTACAAGATTGCGAGAGCCCAGACGCTGATTGCAATATGTAGCACTGTTCCAGGATACTGGTTCACTGTAGCACTAATAGACAAAATGGGAAGGTTCGCCATCCAGCTCATGGGCTTCTTCTTCATGACGGTCTTCATGTTTGCCTTGGCCATTCCCTACAACCATTGGACCCACAAAGAAAACCGAATCGGGTTCGTCATCATGTACTCCCTGACCTTCTTCTTTGCCAACTTTGGCCCGAACGCGACCACATTCGTGGTCCCGGCGGAGATCTTCCCTGCCAGGCTGCGGTCGACCTGCCACGGCATATCAGCCGCATCCGGGAAGGCAGGGGCGATAGTGGGAGCGTTCGGGTTCTTGTACGCTGCCCAGTCAACAGACCCGAAAAAGACTGACGCAGGTTACCCGACTGGGATCGGGGTCAAGAACTCGCTCATAGTACTGGGATGCATCAACTTTCTTGGCATTCTTTTCACGTTGTTGGTGCCGGAGTCGAAGGGAAAGTCCCTCGAGGAGATGTCTAAAGAGAATGTGGAGGGCGAAGAAGAGGGGAATGGGCCTGAGATGATGAGAACTCAGAGCAGGACCGTTCCTCTCTGATTATATATAGAAACCTTTGTCTTTATCTTCAAAGACCATATGTGTTAACATGTTTTAATAGATTGTATAAGGAGTATTAAAACTATTACTCGTATTATTATTAAATACCTATATATGGATGATGAGGAAGGTAGTGAATATGAATTATCTCTATGAAGATATATCTTATGTTACCACTACTCAATGTGTCTTTCTCTATGTTGAATTGAATGATGGATTAAGTAATGTGGCTATTTGACAAAGGATTAGAAATAGAAATATCTGAGCTAAATACCACTAGAATTTAAGTCATTTCCTTAAATAACACTTAATCTATTTTATTCCTTAAATATCACTTAATAATATCCATAATGTTCAGTGATGACGAATATTTACTTGAACGAATAGTGACTAATGGATAATGACTAAAAGTGCTACATTAGGAAAAAACACATATGATGCTATTTAGGGAAAGTCATTATGTTTTAGTGCTATTTAAATAATTTCCTCTTATAAATAACCAAATGTGGTTTGGATTCGGCAATAACTTTTGTATTTTTACCGTTTAATCAATTACATGTCATTTTGGAATTTAAATTATTAATTTCTAGTTTTTCCGAGTTTCAATTGTTTATAATTTTTTCAAAATTTTTCACTTTTCACAATTTTTTCTATTTTCTTCTAGTTTGTTTTTCGTTTTTTTTTCTAATTCCTTCCATTTTTCGAACTATTTCCGTTTTCTTCGAACTTTTTTCTATTTTTCTCAAACAGTTACTCTAAAATGATGTATCTTTTATGTGATTATTATTATTATGTTCAAAATTATAATTCATAAATTACTCTAAAAAACGATGTATTTTTTATGTGATTTTTTTGAATAATTTATTATTATTATTATTAATTTATTATTATTATTATTATTATTATTATTATTATGTTCAAAAGTATGTTTTATGTATTATTTGAATTTATATATTTTTAATTGTTTTCCCTATCATTTTTTTTGTGATTCACATTCATTATTATTTTTTCTTCCACTTTTTAACTAAAAATTGACCTAAAAATGTGTAAAAAATGCAAATAACAAAAACAGAATTAATAATTTTAATAGAAGTTAGAATGTGCAGAGTATAATATTTATTTTAACAATTTTCATTTTTCTTATTTCAAATGTATAATATTTATTTCAACTTCTTTCATTTCTTCACCAATATTTTTCAACACATTCTTGCTTTTTTTGAACTCTTTTCATGTCAAAAACCAAATTTGAATGCGAGACATGAGTCCATAAAGTCGATAAAGCTTGTCATTATGTATAAAAATTACTACATATTTTAAAAATACTTTAACTCTATTCACACAAACCCCGGGTCTAGTCTTTTTGCAATAGACTAATCGGTACCAAACCATACTAATCTTCCACCAAAATTCAAGAATTAAATAAAACTGCCGGTCTATGGCAGCGTTCCCTTTAATTTAATTTTTCTGTTTATTGTTTATTCTTATAATAATTAGATCAGACCAGGTCCGATCAAACTAGATTAGATCTGTGCAAATCAGATCAGACCAGATCAGATGTGATTTACAAAAAATCAAATAAGATCAGATCAGGCGAACAGAACGCAACCTAAGACCATACCACTTGAGTCTAATCTTATCCCATCCAAGTCTCAATATATATTCATTCATTTAATCAGAAAACTATTTCAGAGTACCCTCAATTTTCTAGTAATAATAATTTATAAGTCCCACATTATCATATTATTATGTCATCATCACTTTTGTTAGTTTATTTACTCCATTATTCATGAGTATAGATAGTGAGATAGTCATAGACATTGTCATAAGGGGAGTTGTCTCCAAAATTAGTAAAAGGATAAAGCTATTTGTACTCTAGAATTTGTACTCCATTTTGTACACCGTTTTTGATGCACTAACATTTTGTGTTGGTGTAATATTAATTTTTGTTAACGCACCAACATTTTGTGTAAGTGTAAATTTTTGTTAATGCACCAATATTTTGTGTCAGTGTGAACCATCAAAATGTTGATGCATACTTTTGATGTATAAATGATGTACAAATGTTGGGTACATGTAGCATGCTCCTTGGTAAAAAGCCAACATTTTCGGAATGAACTCTTGTTAGGTGAAGAAGTTGCTCCGTTTTTTTGGAACACTTTTAATAATTGTTTGATCAATTATTTTCCACCAAAAAAACAACTGAGACAAAATAATACGGAGTATCTAATGAGCTCCACGCCGAAAAACATCTCGCACTTTACCTTTTCAAAATACTTTTAAATACTTTTTTAAATAATCTCTTGGGCTAATAATTGATTTAATGACACATCTCTCAAACTTATTCGAAAAAAGATTAACCTCACCTTTATGGTCTTTCATAACTGACAAGGGAATTTTTAAAATATATATATAAATTACGATATAATTTTAATCTAATAAATAAGAAATGGGATCTGTCTATGTAACAAACCTATTTTTTTTATCTTTTGTCAAAAACTGAATCCAATATTACCTCTCTTGCAAAACCATGATGACATAAAGGTGATAAAGCCCAAAAAAACTCATACTTTAAAAATAGGAAATATCAAAAACAGTTTCGCATGTATTAAATTGTCAAAAAATTGTAAACATGAAAGAAAAGGCAAGTCATAATATGATACTCCCTCCGTCCCTGACTATTTGTCCACTTTCATTTTTGCACACCATCCAATGCACTTCTTTAATCCATTTTATCTTGTAATTTGTATATTAAAAAATTATAAAAATTACTCCTTCCGTCCCAAAGTATTTGTCTACTTTCATTTTACACACCATCCAATACACTTCTTTAATCCATTTTATCTTGTACTTTGTATATTAAAAAATTATAGAAATTATATATTAATAATCTATATGTTAAGACAAATCAAACAAGATCACACATGACTATATTTAGGCTTACACATTGAGAAAATTTGATGAGTCAAAGTGCTTAGATGAACAGTTCCAAAAGTCAAAAGTGGACTAATATAGCGGGACGGAGGTAGTATATATTAATAATCTATATGTTAAGACGAATCAAACAAGATCACACATGACTATTTTTAGGCTTACACATTGAGAGAATTTGATGAGTCAACGTGCTTAGATGAACAGTTCCAAAAATCAAAAGTGGACAAACACTCAGGGACGGACCAAGTATTTCTTATTCTTAAAACTCATTCCTTTTTTTTTTGAAACAAAATAATTAAATTAGGAAATCAAAGGAATAAAGTTTGGGGGTGTGTCAAACCACTCCCCTACAACATCATCATTGCAACTACTACGCGCTAACAAATGCGCTGCCTCGTTTCCGGAGCGAGGAGTAAAACAAAAATTAAGGTCTCCTGCACAGAGCATTTGGAGACGCTTACAATCTTCAATGATAGAGTTAAAGTAAGACCAGTCCATGATAGTACTATTAAGTGAATCGACAACCTCCTTACAGTCTGTTTCCACAAGGACTTGTTTCCAGCCTTTACTTTTAATCCAACTAAGTGCTTCCTTAACTGCGATGGCTTCTGCTTCACGTGGACCAAAACTCCCTCTACATTTAATACTTTTAGCAGCTACGAATCAGCCTTCATAATCTCGCACAATAAAACCCAGGCCTACATACCTATCAACAAGTCCTGATGAGGCATCCACGTTCACCTTTAAATAATTCACCGGTGGCCTCTCCCATCCCTTTGTTGCACCAGGTTCAGCTCTAAGATTAGTCGTTGTGGAATTCCTAGGGGTTGCCATCCTCCACCAGTCTTCATAGTCTCTGTAGGTCCGCGTCCAGACCTCCAAGGGAGAGCGTCTCACTCCCTTCCAAACCTTAGCATTACGTGCAGACCAAATCATC